TGTGGCTACATCACCTCACCAGTCAGCACTTCTTTTTGAGGTAATAAAATTATCCTAGAATTGCCTATGGTGATGGTTGCTTATGTCCATGACTACTCGAAAATTTTTGATTGGGGCTGAGGATTTAGCTTAGCGACATAAGCGCCTGCCTTGCAAGCCTGTGGTCTTGAGTTCGATCCCTGGTACCGGTAAAAATACGAAAAAAAAAAAAATCATATGATTGCTAACTTTAAATGAATAAGTTGTGTGCTATAGAATGAATAAATAAATTTGTTTCTTTGAAACACCAGGAAAAGACATTTGCTTAAGAGCGCTAAGGCTGAGCTCGTCTCAATTTTCACCCCAAAGAAGAGCCGGGTGATCTTGGGCTCAGATTACTTGCAGTTTGCACCCGTGAGTTGAACTCTGGGCATGTTGTTTTGGGGCATCTGATGCTCTTGTTAACACTCTCTCTCTTAATGTACTTGGTGTTAAAAAAAAAAAAAAACAAAAAAACCTCTCCCTCTTGCTGCATTGGGCTAGAGAGTGTAAAATATTTGGTGATGAAAGTAGGTTGGAGAACATTCGTTTTATTAATTTAATTATTCTTAATATAATGTTTACTTCTCTCCCCACAGGGGTTTTCTTCTGTATCTTGTTCCTGCCTGTCCCATGGAACTCACCGTCTGACAAGTGAGGCCCAGGAGACAGGCCTGCTAACCTTTCCACAGCCTCCCGTGCATCCCAGAAAGCACAACAAAAGAAGTCTTTAAAAGCTTGCTGGAGGTTGAGAAGTTAACCAAAGAGTCATGTAGGCACGTAGCTGCAACATGAAAAACACAACCTAAGAATAATGTGCTAATTACTGTGACTCAGCCCCATTAGTGCACACAAGACCAACACCCACACGAAGAAGGACCCAGTCTTCCCACTCGCTTTGTAGATCATTTAATTTGTGCTCCTGACACAGTTCTCACCCATCTTAGTTTTGGGATAGTGGAGGGTGCCCACCCTTCTTCCTCCAGAATGATATTGCTGATTCTTTTCTTTTGATCTTAACTTTTTTTTTTTTTTTTTTAATCTTTTTATCGGTACCGGGGATCGAACTCATGACCGCCTGCTTGCAAGGCAGGTGCTTATGCCACTGAGCTAAATCCCCAGCCCCTGATCTTTTTAATAAATATTCACTTTATCTCTCTGACCTCCGTTTTTCATCCTAAAATGAGAAGGTTTAACTAGAATATCTGTAAGATTCTGTTAGTTTTGATATTCTATGAGGAAGATTTTTGGGGAGACATTTTTCCTCTAACAGTTTAGCCTTTATTGGGACCTTTTTCTTTTTCTCCGTAGGGTCATCTGACATTCCTATAATGCCTGCACTTAGACAGCAGACAGGAGATTGGCACAGCCTGTCCACCTACCTGTCCAGTCTGTTGAAGTGCTCGAGCCCTCCTGCCCCGGTACATGCCCAGGCTCTTTCCTTGGGTCAGTTTGCAAGTAAAACTCTGGAACCTTAATTTCAATTCCATGTGGAACAAAATGAAAAGAGAGAAGCTGCAAAGACAAAACCTTTAGCTTAGATCCACTCCCAAGATGGGTCCTTGTCCCCACGTCCTCAGTGGGGGAGGACAGTGTGTCTTCATGGTGGGAGGGGAAAAGGCAGGAAGGGAACTCCTTTCAACCTTGAGGCCTATGTAAAGGTTCTAATCCCATTCTTAGAGCCCTCACGAATTTTTTTCACCTTTCAAAGGTGATAAAAACCTCAACACTGTTGATTTCGGGATTAAGTTTCAACAAGAATTTTGGAGAGGACATCATCATTTGAATCATAGCAGAACCCCTAGACATAGTCAAACTGGAAGATACCAAAGACAAAACCTTATAAGGGAAAGAAACCAATGGCTTGGGGCTGGGGATTTAGCTCAGCGGCATAAGTGCCTGCCTTGGAAGCAGGCAGTTGTGAGTTCAATCCCTGGTACCCTTAAAAAGGGAAAAGACCAAAAAAAAAAAAAAAAAAAAAGAAACCAATGGCTCCTCACAGGGAAGGGAACAACAAAGTTCACTGCTGACTTTTTATCAGGAGCGGGGCGGGAAGAGTCGCTTGAGTTTGAGGCAGCCTGGGCTACTTCATGAGTTCAAGACCAACCTGAACTATAGTGAGGCCTTGTCTCAAAAAAGAAAAAAATGCAGTTAAGTCACTGCAGGAGAACAAGAGAACAATTTTCTGCTAGCAGAACTTCCCCACCATAAATGCTGAAGGGAGTCCTTCAGGCCGAAAGAAGAGAATGCTAGACAGTAACATGAATCCTCATGAAGAAATAAAGAGCACCGTAAACATAAAAGACACTAAATATATTTTGTTTGTAATTTGAGTGACTTAAAATACAACTGCATAAAGCAATGACAATATAAAACTATAAACGGGCTTATGTAAACAATATAAATTGTATTTATATTGAAATAATAGCATAAAGGAGGGTAGAAAGAATGGAGTAAAATTTTGTAAACTATTGAAATTAAGACAATATTAATCAGAGCTAGATTATTTTAAATCTAGGTAGCAATTGTAATTGATAGAATTTTCAGCGTGGCTAAAAAGATAAGAAGTATGAAATAAAAGTGGCCTTTATTTTAAGAATGTGGAGAGAGACTCCACGACCTCCAGAGTCTGGCATTCTCTCCGCCTGCCACATGGTGTGGGGACATACGTGTAGCTTAGGTTTGGGGTGGTGCCTAAGGGGCATTACAGATGCACAGGTAACTCACTGGAATTCATCTCACGCCACAGGTAAATTGCCGAGGGGCGGGAAGATGACCTCAAGATAGAGCCCCTTGGTTCCTCCTCCCAGCCTCCCACTGGCTACAGTGTCCCATCCGGGACAAAATCCTTTCAGTAATGTCCTGGAGAACGACTCAGAAAATAACTAAATATATTATTAAAATAAGGAGTGTTGACTTGAGCATTCCAGTGGCTGAGATTAAGGGCAATTCTTTCAAGATGCTGCCATCTTAAAATTCATGCTTCAAATTCCTGGGACAGGGATTCCACTTGTTTTGGTGTGGATCGTGGTTACCACTACTGTGGTTTAAAAAGTGTGCATGGCGGTACGCTTTAAAAACAGACAAGAATAGAAATATATGCATGTCTGCAACAGAGACAGTCATGTAAGAAAAGGCTGGAGCAGAAAGCATCTGAAAGAAAACACAGCATGCATGAAATTACTCCACAGATGCACAGACATGTACATAAAGAAATGCATGAAACACCGGAACATCAGCAGTGGCCTTCAGCATATGATGGTTTATTCCTTTCCTTACATTTTTATGTATTTGAATCTTTGTAATAAGCACATAGCTTATATACAAAAAAAAAATACTACTTAAACATTTACAATGCCCCTGCATTGGGAGATGGAGATGGATCAGAAACATACGTCCTTGCAGGACCTGGCAGTTACTAAGGAGACAGGCAGACACAGCCAGCTGTAAAATACAGCTAAGCAGTGCAGGCTGCAACAGGATGCTAGGAAAGAAACAACTGATCTCACAGATCCGACTGGGAAAGTCAGAAGAACAATGTTAAAAGAAAAGGTATTCGATTTGGAGCTTGGAAGCAATTCAACAGGTAAAGAGAGGGAAACCAGAAACCCAAAATAAGGGAGAAGAATGAGCATAATAAGCAGATGTTTTAAACACCAGGGAGGCTGGGAATGGTGGCGCATGCCTGTAATCCCAGCTCTCAGAGGCTGCTGTGGGAGGACTGCTCAAGTTCAAGGCTAGCCCAGCCGGGCAGCTTAGTGAGATCCTGTCTCCAAATAAAAAATAAAAAAGGGCTGGGGATGGTTTAACTAGAACATGGGTGTTGAGTGGACAGGAGGCTGGAAACAGGCTGGTCTCCAACTGTGAAAGTTTAGATTGTATTACCATTGAGCAGCAGAAATACCTTCGGTGGGGGCAGGGGGGTGGCTTGTTTTGTCATGACGTGAGGGGCAGGGGTGTTTGTTTTGTCAGGAGAGTCTGCCTTGCAGGTGAAAGAGGAAGAAGAAAGAAAACCAGTTAGGAAACTATTAAAATGATTCAGCTCAAGGTAATCAAAGTCTAACCAAAGAAGCCCCGTGGGAATCCACAGGAGGGCAGAGTTTCCAGAGCGTTTCTGAAGTCAAATGGCAGGCCCAGGGGAAAGAAGATCTTCGGTGCCTGGCAACTGAGGGGTTGGAGGTTCTCCAGTCTGAGAAAGGGAAGAGAATATACACATTCTTGCAGAAGATAGACGGGCTGGTTGGTATAAATCGCTAAGAGCCTAGAGCAACCGATTAAAGACTTAATCAGAAGGGCAGATCTTCAGTCTCAAACCACAGAACTCAGTCTGGTTCTGGGCTCTGAAATAAGCAGTCAGAGAGAAAAATGGGCCCAGAATCCTTCCTCACTGAGCAGGCCCCAAGAGTGGCTCAGATCAAGCTCCTCAGTGTCTACACATCCTGCATAAAAGGGCCTGGCTGTGGAGGAGGTATCTGGAGTCCTGGGTGAACTCTCAGGCATAATCCTGATACCAGCGTTCTGCTCACTGTGTCGAGGAAAACCTCGCTATCTTTTCTTCTTCGTGTTTTCCTCCTCAGTAGAGCTTTTTCTGAAAAGAAGCTTTTGGCTAACACAGTGTGTAAGAAACAGCTAAAATGTCTGTACTGTGTGGTCAGGGCCTGGGCTGGCCACCCAGCTTCCCCTCTGCCCTACTCTACGACCAAGCTTCCTTCAGGCTTGTCATAAAAATGTAAGATTTCCCCATGAGCAAACGTAAGTCTGAGATCTCAAAATAAATGATGATATGAATGGTCAATGCCTGCCAAGGCTCTCACGATGCTCTTGTAAGTGGTGGACCTGGATGGGGACATCTTATTTGTGACCTCCCTTTAATACATTCCTGGAAAAAGTAATGTTCTTGTTTTTCAGATTATAAAATAAATGCAATGTGAAAAGTCTGGAAACCCCAGAAAGTGTCTATCTGTTGATCATCTAGCTACTGGGTAGCTCCAGCGCATACATAAACACGTAAGTGAGTAGGTGCCCAGGACCCTCCGCCTCCTGCCCGGTGCCCGAGGAAGCGCAGGGCGGCGCCAGGCGCGGGGAGGAGCGGCGGCCGGGCCGGGCCGGGCCGGGCCGTGGGCGGCTCCGCAGGCTCGTGCGCCCCGGACCTGCGCCTCCGTGCGTCCTGCGGCGGCGATGGGCGCGGGGCCCGTGCAGCCCGCGCAGCCCGGATCCAGCGCCCCGAGGACCCCGGCGCGGCTCCGCCAGGTCGGCCAGGCAGCCTGCGAGGTGAGGCTCGGGGGGGGGGGGGGCTGGGGGGGGCTCTCCGGGGAGCCCCGGGCTGCAGAGCGGTGGAGGGGCAGAAGCTCCCAGACAGACTCGGGGCGCCCGGCCGCTCTCGGGCTTGGCGTGGGAGTCTCCGGGGAAGCGAGGGGTGCAGGGCGCGGGGTGCAGGGTGGAGAGTGAGCCTCACTGCTGGAGCTCTCGGGCTGCCTTTCTGCTGGCCACGGAGCAGCCAGGCAGCCTTTACCAGATCATCAGCTCAGGCTTCTTCATAGAAGAAACTCTCGGTGTGCACGTGCTACTACAGATGAGAAACTTGAGGTGTTTCTTTAACACCAAATTTTGTGTGCATCGGAGGATTAAAAAGCTGGGGGAGAGAAGTCATGGCGTGGCTTCTTTTACCCCTTTGTTGGTTTTTCTGGGTACGTGCATGCAAGAGTAATAGGTGAGTTATGTCCTAGTATATAAAGAAATGTCCTGCTTTAAACCAGGATATAGACATGACATTTTTGTATTTTCAGGTGAAAGATTTTCAGGTGAGGGTTAAAATCTAGGAAAAACGTTGATGCAAAGGCTGCAAAAAGAAAAATTAAGTTTCCTCCATCGATGGCTTCATTCTGTACAGAGGGTTTCCAAGCAGTTTGGACAGCAACCAGGCTTGCAATGACAGATTGTGTAGTTGCCTCAGTGGAGCTAAAAGAGACACAGCAGCTAAAAGGCAGAGCAGCCCTTGCACGTGGGTTCAGATGCTTTGAGTTTGAATCGAGAGAGCAGAATGCTCTGCAGGCTTTGCTGCTTAGGGCCTGGGGGAGGAGCAGAGGTGGAGCCGGGTCACCACTTTGCCAACCTGATTCCACTTCAGGGCCCTCGCGGTCTCTGGAGGGTCCCCTTTGTCTCCCCTTCGCTTACCTCCAGCTTTTAGCTTCTCCCTGTTTCCCAATAAAGTCTAGAGTTGGCCTGATCAGAGGCAGAATAATGGGAGGCTGGAGATGGAGAATCTTGTGTCCAATGGAGGCAGAAACGGGACCGGAGCAGACCGAGAGGGTGGTGGGGTGAAGCAGCGTCCTCCCTGGAGGGTTCTTACACAAATGGGAAAGTTAAGGAAAGTTGAGACAGAGAGGAGGAGTGCTTAACAGTGTTTCATGTCAGGGGTTCTGATATTTGCTTTTGCTGGACCATCAGAGCGTTTCTGGAAAGGTTGTAGGGGGAGAAGCGTCTGTGAAGGGCTGTGTCCTCTCACTCACATTTTATTCTGTGCTTCCCAGATTTTCAGAAAGTCACTGAGAGCTTGGGAGAGAGAAAAGAAAGGCCAAGGCCCTAATGGACAACAGATAGAGTGATGTGGGGTTACCTGGGCAGAGAAGTTGGATTTGAGGGTTGAAAGAAATATTCTACGTTAGGTAAAAAATCAGAGACTGTACTTTACAGAAAGAATTGAGAAGCATGACCTTCATGTTTACTTACTGATGAATAATAGTAAAGGATAAAGGGTATAGTTATGTTCCCATTTGGCAGATTGTAAGTAATTAATGAATATTGATGAATTCATTTGATATTTAAGTGATTCAAACAACTCTTTGTCTCCTATAAGGATTGTGAAACCCTTGATAAACTCCTGTCTCCTTTTTTTTTAATTATGGAAAGTTTCAGATATACCAAGAAGTTACTAGCCTTTTTTTTTTTTTATAAACTTATGATTATCTTAAAACGTAAACCTGTTAATAAAATTCACAGTTTAGCATCCAGATATTGGGAATCTAGCCTTGGATGGAGTTTGAATCTGAAAATTGTTAAGAAATAGGTGTATGAAGGATATGAATATTTTTGAGAAAAATTGTAGGGATCTTACTCACCTGACTCTTCTGTAAGAATCTTGGGCAAATCTCTTAATTGCTTTCTTTTGGTTATTCTTAACACGCGGATTGAGAGTGTCGCTCCCTGTGTGACTGTTTCCCCTCACACAGCAGATAAAACCCAGCCCTCCTAGACTGCTACAGATCAAACCCTCTGCGATCTGACCCGTTTGGCTTCATTCTCTCCCGTCCTCTGTGTGTTTCTCTTCTTCTTCCCTCAGTCTGAACACTCTTCTCCAGACACTGGATCAGTTTTTTTCCTGTTTGACATCTTCTAAAAATGTGACCTCCATGAGACCTTCCCATCACCTGATCTATTTGTCTATTTGTCTGACCTCATTTTTTCTGTCTTCATGGGACCTGACATTATATATGCTTCTTTGCTAATTGGGCATATCTCCCTTCAGATGTTAACTTCTTAAGGACAAAAGTTTGTTTTGCTTTATTTATGGTTATGTTCCCATTTGGCAGATCATAAGTAATTAATGACTATTGTTGAATTCACTTGATATTTAAGTGATTCAAACAAGTCTTTGTCCCCTATAAGGATCGAAAACCCTTGATAAAATGCTGAATTCCCTTTAAGTCATTCAAGTAATGAATATTTTACATATAAAGTGATGATCCTGGAGCTCAGTGACTTGTGTTCTCACAGTGTGTGCGCGCTGAATTGTGAGGTAGAAACTGGGCTGGTTTTGACAAAAGCCACCTACCAAATGAGACAGAAAACATTTTAATCCCCGAAGTTCATTTTATGCCACTTTTTAGCCACCTCGACCACTAGAAGCAACCTTTATTCTGATTTCTATTGTCTTGGATTTTGCTGGTTTTTGAGTTTATATAAATGCAATTGTACTGAATGCATTCATGTCTGTGACTGTTTTTTGCACTAATTCTGTGTAATTTGTGTGATATTCATGCATGTTGTTAAATGTATCAGTAGTTTACCTTTTACTTCAAGGTTTGACTATTAATTCTGTGTTTATTCATACTCTTATTGATAGACACAAGTTGCTTATAGTTTGGGGTCTTTTTTGAATAAAACTACCATGAGCATCTTTATAGAATCTGCCTTATTTTGAGGCCTAAGCAGCTTACCTGAAAGTCTGCCTCATGCCACCAATGCTGAAAAATGTGTGGCAAGGTGGTGGGGACCGTGGCTGATGCAGTGGCCTGTCTGAAGCCCCACAGTGTCTGCCCTGGAAAGCTCTTCTGGGAGCAGACCTGCTTCCTCCTCCAGCACTTGGAAAATGAGTGACTGCAAGTCGACGGAGCCCTGAGGTATGCCTACATATTTTTGGTTTCTTAGAAGAGAAACTAGGCTGTGTATGGTGGCACATGCCTGCAATTCCAGCCCTTGGGAGGCCAAGGCAGGAGCATTGCTATGAGTTTGAGGCCCTCTTGGGCTTCACAGCCCAAACTGTGTGGGGAGTATCTGTCTGTCTGTCTGTCTTGTCTGTGCCTCTCTCTCTCATATATACACACACATTGCTGTTGTATTCCCCTCCTCCTCTCTCAGCCCCCCCATCAGTCCCCATATGTCCCCAGGTTGACTCTAATCAGCCCCTGAACCTTATACTACCAAGATATTTAAACATTTATGAGCAAGAGTCTTGTTCACAGCCTGATAAAATATTTATGTGTTTCCATGGTGCATCGGTTTCCATCTAGATTTCTTAAGGCATTTTTCTGAAACACTTGTCATAATCATGAGATCCTTAGAAACAGATGGTCTGTGTTAACAGACCCCACCTCCCCTGGCCCTCTGCTTTCTCAGTACGGGGAGAATGCACACAGAGAAAAACAAGCATTGGAAGGGTCCGGGTCAAGCATGTGCTTTTGAGATTGGCTTGAGGGAAGAGGGCTTGTTCAGGATGCAAATCTAGAGAGGACAGTGAAAAGAACTGGTTAGAAGGGGGAAGATTAATGAAGGTGGATGCTTTCACTCCAAAGGGGAGAATAGATGAATTATTCTGGTAAAACCAGTTGCTTTGACATAGACATGGCCAAGGCTTATAGGAGACAACGAGGCTGATGATACAGTGAGTTTTACCTCCTGCTGTGGTGCTGGGGCAGGGGGAGCAGGGCTCTGTAGGAGGGTAGACAGCTACTCCACAAGAATCACTTTCCTCTGAGGTGAAGCAACTGTTGTGTCTCTTTGGCAGCAATGGTACAGGAGGCATTGACTGAGCAGATATCTGAATGCAACCCAGAATACAGTAAGGTAAGAGGGGTACAGGGAAATTCAGGGCAGAATTGCAATGAGCAACACATTCCTGAAGGCTAGTTTATGAAAAGCACAGGGCTGTGGCCCTCAGTCTGTCTGTTGCAGGAAGCCAGGAAAATTCTGACCAGAGATTGGATCAAATTTTGAGCTGTTCTTAAGAGGTGTATCTGACCTAGGTGAGACCTTGAGGTGCAGTTGTGTCCAAGGCATCTCCATAACTTTCTCTTGTTCCCGGTCCAGTATAGAGTACTCTGTGCAGTGTGTTTTAAGGGGGATAAATCAGAGGAGGTTAGGGTTGTTCAATAGTCCTAGCACTGACCAATAACAAGTGTTATTAGTGACCTTCCTGCCCCCCAGCTAGTATGCCCTTGCATGTTCTAGTTCAAGTGTAATTCACAGGCTTCAGGCTGCATCTGCAGGTGAATTGCTCTCATGACCCCTTTGCCTCAGCGGGGAACTGAGGTCTACATATCACCTTCCCACCTGAACCTGAGTCTGGGCAGTATACTTCCAATGTAGGGTGCCACGCAGCTATGCTAGGAAGTGAGGCTGGAAGACTATCCTGCTGTACACGGGCCCACTTTGACCAGCCCACTGGGCAGGACTAGTGGAGAACCTGGCCACGGAACTAAGGTCGTGCACTTTGATAATGCAGAGATGGGGCTGCTGGTACCTTTCTTTATGTTTGCAGTCTACAGGTTCTTACCTCAAATTGTTCACATTTTTTAATAACCAACGTGTTTAGTTTTTAACCCAGAATGAAAAAAAAGGAGGCATATTAGAGCTGTCAGTTATCTAAACCCGATGTGGTAGTGATCGGTCTAGAAAGTGGGTCTTCAAAGCCATTGGAGAAGTTTTGTGTGTACAACTGTCATTCAGTATCCAAGAGGACTGCTTTGAGGGACCTCAGCGGATTCCACAACCTG